ATATATATATATATATATACATATATATTATCATACTTCGGTGTATAGGACGCAAGCAGATTTTGACATCAAATTTTGGGGTAAAAAAAGTGTGTCTTAGACACCGAAAAATACGGTAGTTTATTTCCGATCTTTGTTTTTGCTTTATGAACCCACCGTGTCTAGAACTGACAACTGTTACGAGTATTCGGTTTTAGTAGACAAGTCATAATGAAACTATTTAACTATCAATTTAGTGGAAAAGACAAAAGCTATATAGCATTGATCTTTCAACATGTCTTTGTTTTGAATAGAACAATCGAACCCTACTGGTTCCCTGGATGTGCTCTTTGTCAATAACCACCTTAATGGACGTTATAATGTGTTTCTACATGTTTACTCAAGCGGTAAGTGTAGATAAGGTTTTAATAATTTCAGTTACATCAGAATAAAATTCTATATCATCATGATGTAATTTATTTAGTTACTGACTGTGTTTATTCAAACGCTGGAAGAAATCACTCTCTGGTTGTGTAGATGAAGGTAAAATTACTCTAACTCAGTTCTGCCGTACTTCAGTGACTAAAACTGTCAACTACAAATATGTCTGCTAGGAAGTGTAACGAAAAAGAACTGTAATTGTAAACGTTAAAAACAAACATAAATATTTTGCTCGACTTCACGACGAAAAAAAAAAAGAGAAAATTAATAGCAGAAACTCGGCGAATATTTGCTGTCAAATTAGTATCTTTATTGCAACAGTACTTCTTTAAATACAGGAATTTTAGGATAACACAAAATAACTAACACCGAAATCTGCAAGTCCATTTGCTTTAGGCCTAACATAGTTAAGCCTATATTCGAAAAAAAAAAGATACATTAACACTCACTTGTGTAAGTTTTTTGCTTTAATTTAGTTAAGTCTAAACTTTACCGTACATAATACCATCAATAAATAAACTTATGTTTTTCTACGACCTAGCTTTAGACCTTTTTAAAGACGTTGATAAGTTTTTAATATGTTGTTGTACACAATGTCTACTAAAGTATATTTACACCCGCCTATTGTTCACACCCGTTGAAATGAAGTATATGCGCATGCGCATTTAGATAGCAAGGTGCGTGCATATTTTCAGGACAGACAAAAACTGAGTGTTATTATATTATATTATACAGTAATTGTCTAAAATGAACATATCGCTACAATTATGGTTCAACAACAAAAACATTATTTATTCACAATAACAACACTTAGCAACACACAGTTAATAGACAAGTGCCTGACCAGAACTTCACACCAATATCAGTAAACAATTTATCAGAAATATTAATAAATCAGTAAAAATGGAATCAGAAAAAGAGCCAAAAAGATAAAATCCTAATTCAAAAAAAAAAATATAATAGTAAATACAATATTCAAACAATACCTTTCAATATCGAGTGACAAATAGCAATAACTATACCCTTCTATAACTATCTCGTGACACTCTTTCTCTTAGTAAAGCTTCTGGTAGAGTATTTATTCTCAGTGTAGGTCATGCGAGTACAACCTCATGTGATAATAAATTTACATACTCTTCTGCTATATTAATAGCATCCGTTCGTCACCGCTAGGGAAGCTGGTGTCAGTTTCATCATACACACATATATTTACTCAAAATACAAATGATTATGTGGAAAGTGAGTTAGCGTTTTAATGAAAATAAAATTCTTAGATAAACTAAATGATGGAAGGGAATAATAAGTGAACGATAAACACAACCATAATAATAAAAAAATTTAACTTGATATCTCACAATATTAGCTAGAGTACTCGTCCGTTGGACGGGTGAAATAAAAACTCGTTCGTAACTAAGGAGAGGAAATTGTGCTTATATTTTTCTTCTTAACATAATATACACTAAAAGTGCAATAAAAATACATAAAGGTACCAATACTGAAAAGAAAGACATACTGTTTTCAATAATCATATCAATATGAAATTAGATGGGAAGTTAAACCCACCTCATGACTTTCCTTATGTCATCCTGTATCACTGTGTCAATTTGTGCTGATTTAGTAGTTTTTCCGAAATTAGACATGAAATTAAATGGGGGTTCAAACCCTTCCCTTTCATAACCTTCCTCATATCATCCTGTACTACTATGTCAAGTTTGGTGATAATTGATCAACAAATGTGAAAACGTATAATGAATAGATACCCAGACATATTGACGTTTATTTATATAAATTAGTCATTTATGCTACTAATGCAATGTTATTTGGTTATAAACATCCAATTTACGACATAGGAAAGTTTAAGACCCAAGTGTCAATGACTACTGAGGGCAGAATATAAGGAATGTATACTTATTAAAATAACTAGACATAGGATTTTACAGTAACTTACTTAAAAACATATACGATTTATGAGATAGTTCTGTAACCCTATCATAAAGTTATTGATGTAAGAAAAAAATACACACGTAAATATTCATAAGCAGCTTTGTTCTTTCTTGAGTACCGCATGAATTGTTCTTAGAGTGACAATGTATAAGAAAATAGACAGTTTCATAAAAATAAATTCTAGGAACGCACTGTTTTTAAAGCAAGTTAATCAGGTAGCATACTGCATAATTTGATGTGATATCAGCACTATGACTTTATGCTGATTTTGCTACTCATTCCGCGCTTTACTTCATATTCACGTATTCTTTCACACTCAACAACTAATCACGGCTATAATATATATGTATATTCTAAACTAGAATAGAATTATACGCTGAGATATTTTGTGAAACAACAAATATGCACATATGTTATTGCACATGTTAGTTTTAATACCATTACTTATGCTGTAAATATGAAGTTATAACAGGGTGATGTACCAACATGGTTTTCTTAAATATCATAAGATATTGTTAATGGTTTTAGGCCCATCACTAATAATTTTAAAATAAAAATTCTGTAGTTTATTTGTGGGTGTATTGTTCTTGCATTTTTTTACAACGTAAATTATATTCATACCTACAATAATCTCATTCATTACATGTCATTAATGTTTCAAAAATACATATTTTAAAATATGAAATGTTGATGAATATGGCCTTGGTTTCTGTGTTAAAAATCACTGTTTTAAGCACACTTTTTTATTGATTTCTGTTTGTAGCATTCTTTAATTTAAAAGTCCAAAGACTATACAAAAATGGAAATTTATCCCATTTCAGACTGTTTTTATACCCCTTTTTTGGACAGAAATCGTAAAATAAAATAGTCTTTGTACACCATCTGATAGTTTCAAGTTACCAATGTCAAACTTACGGTAATCGAGCTAGTCAACTGTTCGTGATGGAAGTCAAAAATCTATAAAAAGTGGAGATGTTTCGTATTTCATGGTCTTGTTGTTGTTTTTTCTCTACCCTTTCGAGAAAGCAACTAAAAGAGAAATAGCACATGTATTCCTTTGGACAGTTTCCAGCTGACATACCAAAAATCACGGTAGTCGAACCAGCTTACTCTGGGAGGTGGATGCTAATACACACACACGCATACAGTAAGATTCACCAGAGCCAGTTTGAAATATACAAATCTTTCCCAAAAAGTGTCTCTACACTGCAACTTCTCAATAAAGGTGCCTAACCGAAGTGACGTGTAATAAAATGTTATTTCTCTTGAAGTCTAAGGTTTTACACTTATTTGATCACGACAACAAACTTCAGTTTGCATTAAAACAGCTTATCAAAACGAAATATTACATCACCTTGTAGTATAAAGACATCGTCTTTCATTATTTATGATGTTTCAGTAAGACAAAACAATAAGTTTAGACAGTTTTATATTTGAAAGTTTACTATAGTTTAAAAGTATGAACTCAGATTAAGTAACATATAGCACAAAACGACCAGATGAAGATAGAAGCTTTATATGTCTTGAAGTACAGAAAATAGCTTAACGCTGTTTTCAGATCTACACACACCTTTATATTCCATCATTTCGGACATTGTATATGTTTAGTTGTGACATTCGATGACGAGGAACCCACTTTGAGACTAATAATGGCTGGAAACGACTTGAATGGGTAATGAAGAAAAACTTTAATACAAGTTTAACATAACAGCAAATGTACAACGTTTCGACAAGGTTTTGTCATCATCAGGTACAAGTAATTTACACTGACACGGATATATATATACAGTATTGAACAAAGAAGTAAAAAAAAAACAACAACAAATTAACGTCAAATCAGTAAATCGATAAATATGTCTGTTAATGCATGAAAAACCAGGTGGTATTTGAATGATAAAGTGAACTACTCATATTTAAATGCTTTCTACTAAAGCCTAAATAATAAAAAAAGACTAGAAAGTCAGAACATGTGCTTTGTGGCCTTTCTGTTATACTGAAGAAGAAACTTTGTATCCAAGCGCTGTGTATTGGCTGGCCGCTGGCTATCAAATAATTCACATTCTGGTGAATTCAATGTGTTAGATTGACATCTCTTGGAAGTATGTACAAAGATGTAAATGATTCGTGATTTTAGTCAAAATTAGTTAACGATTATATCATTTAAATGGTTGAGGAAGTAAACCATCAAAATGTCATTTTGACTGTAATGTAAATACACTTTAATTGTTTGCACAATAACGCTATGTCTAGACTAACGACAGTTGTTATTACAGCACCCTTTACAGCTACCAGAAACAGATGACGTATAGTGGTACCTATCACTGACTGTTAGGAAGATAAACAGTCAAGTATTTATCTAAACAAAGAACAGTACTTAGTACTTTTCGATTTACGAACAACAAAATTAACAACTGTTTATTCTCATTCAGTATTCACTATAATCGAAGCCTCTGTAAATGAGCAAATTTGAACCTAGTGTTAAAAATAATTTAAATATGTTCACTGATACCACAATGAATGAATCGTTTAACAGAAAATGTATAGTTTACTTATTTTTTACTGCCTTTGTTTTACTTACAAAGAAAAAATAGCTTCGAGGAATTATGCGAATATTAATCCAACTTCAAAATGATCTACTGAATAAAAATTCTAATCATTTATACTTGAGGGTGCAAGATTAAGAAGTAGTGGAAAATTAAATTACTTGCATTAAATTTAAATTCACCCTCTTTTAACGGTCCTATTACTTTTGTCTCAAACTATACAGACATAAAATCAGCGGGACTGACAAACAAATGAAATACGTATTTCTGTATAATACAGTTCTATCTAAACTGTAAGAGTGAACATCATTACCTAGTTTTAGGGCACGTGATGTTTTCAAAAGAACTTCACACTTCAATGCTTTTGGAGATCGAAAGATTGTCTTGTTTTTAAGTGAATTAGCATTTCCACAAATTTGTTTGTATATAAATAATTATTGAGCATTTTTTATTATTGTCTAATAGTTACAAAAAAATAGAATCTAAATTTATCAGACTTGATGAATAAAAACAGTATACTTATTTATGTAAGTTCCATTACAGAGTATTTCCGTATACAAGGCTTAGATGAGTTGATTTATTAGTCCAAAAACATCTCAAATCGCATGTCGATTGATTACAAGTTATACTGCGCATAGGTAACATACAAGTATAAAATATTTTTATTTCTGTATTCATTTTTTGCAGTTCTGCCTCAAACGGAGTGTCTTAAAGTAGTAATTGTGGCAGTTATAACATCTGTGACCATGTTTAAAACTGTCAACACATAAATATGCTTTGATAATTGTGACTGTGCAAATAACTTATGCATTTAACTAAAATGTACATGATTTTTTCTGCTTTTATGTACTTCTACTTTTCGTGTATTTTTCCTGTTGAGATGAGTTTTGACAGAACATTTTCAAATAGTCTTGTTAATTAGCACTTATTGTCTTTTTACAGTGACGAACCTTAATTTTCGATATATATAAAAGCACGTTCTACTGTAGTTTATGATTTAGAAAGAACGTTGTTTATTCTCGTTACTAATTTTTTTATCATGCATACATAAACAGCCGTATAAACTATAACTACATTACAGGCTGACACTCCAAGACTTATTATCATACAAATATATGTGTTCAAAACTCTAGTGTATCTAAACTATTTTATTATTGAAATATACACCCAGTCTTCTCTAACTTAATTACAAAGCTACTTTAGGTTTCTTCTTTTATGGTCACCTTCTATTTTAGTTTAGCTTTTACACATTATTTACATCATTATGTTTAGGTACTAGCAAACTAAGTATGTTCAAGATAGCGTTCATCATCTGATTATGATATAAGAATGCTGTTTTCAACTAGATTGCATCCTGTGCTATAACTTTAATGCTTTGAACCTTCCTGTCATTACAAATTGTATACTAGAAATTTGATGGAAATCTCTAATTGTTAAGCCGTAGTTGAACTATTCTGTATTTACTGTGGAATACAATGAAACCCTAAAAATGGTTATAGACACTATTCACAACATATTCGTGCCAAATTTGAATTTCTTAGCTAAAAAGAGTGACCAAGATATAATTTTGAGGGACAGAAGAATTTGATGTCATCAGAACTGTTGTTGTTATTTGTTTCTCGTATATTATTAAATCTTCTAAGGCTGAAAGCACGTGTTTCTTAAGATAACTAAAATATTGTTGTTAAAAGGGTTATTTTGAATTAGGAAGTATTCACGCTACAGTAAGCACACGTGTAAGCAATTAAGCTTTTCCTCATCTCATGTCACGTTTACTTTAGTAAATGGGGACGCTGCCTTTATATAGTCTCAACACATATTTGAACTTGATATTCTGCTGTTACAAATCATATTGGAAAGTTGCATAAAGGTAAAATTAATGCTGAAAGGAGAAACAAATGACTGTGTTACTGTAATTAAATTACGTTGAAGTTATAAAATAGATTATAACTGTACGTGACGCTGTAACCTGCTTATCTTTTAAGTCCATTTTCTAGATTTTCTGTTGAGGGTAATAGTTCAGCTCTAGAACCTTTCTTTTCAGAGTTACAACCCCATCTTTGGAGTGGTTTTTATCATCGATGTGTTCATATGCTCATTGAACGTGAGTTTTATATTTTCATGGTTACTTTGAACAGTTCTGTTTTCAGTATTGATTTTATTTATGTGGATCTGATACTTTAGAGTTTTTGCTTATTATTATTACTATATACTAGCAGAGTATTAAAATAATCAAAACTGTAGTAAGTTTAAGTTAACAATTTGATTAATGCAGACCAACCATTAGATCTATAATCTAATTGTCAGGTAACTATAGTTACCTAATAAATAATATTCTTCAACTGCCATATGAGTTTACCCATTCAGATAGTAACTGTTATTAAAGAAAATAATAACTGGAAAAGAACTTTCTCTCAATCAGCAGGACCCTTGTAAATTTTCTTTGTTAGTCGTTAGGTGATAATATTCACTTAAAAACGTTTGTTTGTTCGTTAAATCTCGCACAATGATACTCGATGGCTATCTGTGATAGCCGTCCATAAGTTTGAAGTGATAACTAGTCAATATCACCCACCACTATCTCTTGAAATACTAATTTTTCAATGAATAGAGGGATGAATCATCACATTATAATGCTGCCACGATCCCGCAACCTGCAAATTAGCGAGTCAAGCGCCCTAACCATCAGACCATGTTACAAGAAAAAAATAAAGCGCTTGGTATAGGTACAAATATTAAACGTTTTCCAAACTAAGTTTTTACAAGTGATCTGATCTTATTTGACTTATTTCAACACCTTTTTTTTCACTGTTTAGTTTACTTGAATAAATAAAGTCTTCTAAGATATTACTCATTATTAAAATGTTTAAAAACTTATTGTAAATGTGTCTTATGTAAATAAACAAAACTCCACTACGTTTTGATGCAGTACATCATAACAAAAGTGTACATGCTGGTTAAAATATCCATTAGATCCCTGCATGAAAACAATACATAAAGTTCTTTAAAAGAAAACAACATATTTCAGAATTCAGTTTCTTAAATAAGATAATAAGTTAGTGTTGTTGTTGTTATTGTACAGAAACTAATAAACGAAGAATATAATAAAATATATCCCCAGATTACTGAATCTCTTATGTAGTAGGTTGACAAAATTTTTTTAGGAGGAATTACTTATTTCAGTCGAAAAAAATGTCCAAGAATCAAATAATACCCTCATACTTCCAGTGTGCATTGTAGGCTATTAATTTACTACGTAACTTCTTTGATTTCAGGTTTATTGCCTGCTTTGTGTATCTTCCCGATATCAGGATCTTTCCTTAGAACTTCACAATGCTAAATTTCAAGAAGAGCAGGTAAGTATGAGTTTTTATGAGTTTTTTATGTATATATATATGTGTGTGTGTGTTATTGATACCTAGCCTTAAAAATGATATCTTAAGAACGAAAATAGGAGAAATAACATATAGTTTTTGCCGTTCTTAGAATACGATACTGATTCCTCTACAGCAGTGTCTTTATAAGGAAAAACATCGAGTAACAAATATTATTTTATTCTGTTTATCGTGTATAAAAATGTCTAATTAACTGTTGAATTAAGTTGAATTTCACTGTTTACACTAGAACTATGCCTAACAACTTATTGCTACTTTAATAATAACATATTTATACTATTGCAACATTTAGTCAAGTGCTCTATACAGTCAATAAAATGTGTCCCACCTAACAGTCGGTAAATTATAAAAGTATTATTCCTTTCACGCCTTATAATTGTTGGTCAAGGCGTAAGTATGTGTGTGTGTTACGTATTTTATATGCACACATTTAAAATCATTTTAATTTGCGATACTCTAACTTTGACAACCGCACTGATATAAAAACTTAATGTCCGTATTAACACAGTGAGAGGTAAATTTGAATCTATAAGTCAATCTCGATTTCACATAAAAAACAAAAATTAAATAAACGGCAAAATTCATGACAATTAAATAAAAAAATGTTTTTTTATTTAATTGATACCTATATATGGGAGGTAACTTTATGGACTATTTTTCATTAACTGCTCTTTTGTATTTTAATTATGCTAGAGGGCTATCTCCATGCGTCGTCAAGGGACATCTGAAGTACGAACCACAAATGCTCCTTTAAAAAAAAACGATGGTTCTTCTTTGCTTCCGGGTGGTCAGAGAAAAGGATCAGCATCAACAAACAACCAGTTACTTCCGGAATTAAGTACCATTTCAGAAGAGCGAAGTCTGATGAATTTCAATCGGAAGCTGAGTACTGACGTCAGTTCCTTTGAGCCTGATAGTCAAGCTCTGTCGCCTTCTGACGATAAAAGAGCTTTTCCTTTAAGCTCTTCATCTCCGACTCACTCTACTGATGCCTACTGTGATGAAGGCTTGGAATGTAGAAATGAATGTTTGAGTTTGTTCACAAAAGATGGTCACTTATGTCCACCGCGTACAGGGAATGGGTCGGTCTACTGCTCCCAGTTTGAGCTTGTTAACCTTTCTATATCTGAGGAGCCTTCTGATACACACTTATAAGGAAATATTTACAGCTGGTCTTCTATTGCCTGTAAAAAGCAATTCCAGATCCCAAATTTTAGATGTTCACAAAAAAGCATCTCGAAAGTTACTATGTTCACTTGATATAAAACTTTAGTCTCATTGTTGTATTTTTTCAAGGGTTTAGAAGTTTCAATATGAATAGTGTTAGCCGATAAAACGTGAAGTATTCTAGATTTATTAAAACAATGAAAATTCAAACAGTTTCAACTGTGCTTTCGTTCCAAGCACATTCTTTCATTAAGAACTAGATGGAATTACAGTGTTTTCTCATTTATTGTTCTATAAATGTAAACAATTAACACTATTCTTACCTTTTACGCTGTTGATTAATTGTTTGAAATTATATTAGCGCTCAAATATTTTTATTTCATTTTTGAGGTATTCAGAACTAAAGTAAGAGAAGTATCATTTCATACCTCGTTCTATAATGAAAAATATGATTATATGTTTGAAAATAAATCTTTAACATTAAAGACGCGATCTTATTCTATGACTAAAAATAAATAATAAGGAAAATAGATAAAACTCCAGCTAGTTAAAAGTTTCCAAAATCATCTATTTCTGTTTTTCCATAATTTTGTAGCTTCATAAATTAAGCTCTGCTTCTCACTCAGTACTGGTTCTCAATTCGTCATTGAGATGAAGTTTGCTTTTGTGAAGATTGTTCTGACATTTCATTAGCCACTCCTCTTAAAGATCAAGTGAAATTTATTTACTTATGTTATTCTGTAGAATTCCTAAGTATTTCCAAAACCAGGTTATAGTGTTTTACATAGAAGACAAACAAAATAAACTTCTTTTTTTATTATATGTAAAAACTATCAAGAATAAAACTATGAAAGCAACTGTTTTATAAGTGTTTGATTTTTGTTGTTGTTGTATATTGAAGTTTCAATAAGCTTGCAGAACTAATTCCCATTTCTCTACAGCACTCTAACACCAAAAGTAAATCCATCCCTTGCCGAGGCAGCGTATAAGAGCCGGTGCGCACTGTAATATATTCAGAAGTAAAATTATGAATATATTATAGTTGAAACGTTTATTATATTATTTAATCAAATACACTGGTTAATTTTTGAAAGCTTTTGTGACGTCGCAGAATTGGTTTCAAATAGTTAGAACTAAATTGGTATGTTAATTAGTGCAAGGACAATTGTGAAAGCAGTTTTATTTGCAGTAACTCATGAGCAGCAGTTGTGTATTTTATCAATGACATAGTTAACGATACAGATAGTTGAAATTTGAAACAAACTTAACTAAGCATTAAGCAACATGGCAAGGCTTCACAATGATATAGTAATTGATAGTTTCAAAGATAATTACTAATAAATAGAAGCTGGCGTATGAAATCATCCATAATGTTTCGCCGTGATTTGTTGATGTACTTGGATTTTCAACACAACTTTGGGTAATTCGTGGTTTAGATTTTTTCATAATGGAAATCGACGGGTGATTCTTATATTTAGTTCTCAATGATTCCGAGATAAAGAAATATAATTATATTTGGGTTTGACAGTATATAAGACGGTTGTGCACAAAAATGTTCATGTTGGATAGACTTTATCATTGGTCGCTAATTTAACAGAACGATATTAGACGGTTGTGCACAAAAATGTTCATGTTGGATAGACTTTATCATTGGTCGCTAACTTAATAGAAAAATCACTCGTACTTAATTTGTATAAAATTGATTTGGGAACATAAACAACAATGAATCAGGTTGTCACGTGTCACATACATTATTCTTCTGGGAAAGTAAAGTAAATCCGAAGAAGTTAGCATGTGTCGCACATTACACCTTAATTAGGTTGTTATTTGCAACATAACGTTGATTCTTAAGCATGTGTCGCACATTACACCTTAATTAGGTTGTTATTTGCAACATAACGTTGATTCTTAAGCATGTGTCGCACATTACACCTTAATTAGGTTGTTATTTGCAACATAACGTTGATTCGTAAGAAAAAATAAACAAGAAAATTCGAAAAAGGAAACTATCTATTGTCGCAATAAACACTGAAAATAAAAAAAATCTAGCAAATAAAGGAGAATTAGAAAAGATGGCTATGTACGTGTAAAATGCATTCGCAAAAAGTGAAGTAAAATTAAATAGGTTGATATATTTTACATGTAACATTTATTAAACAAAAGTAAAATTAAATATATCGGCCTGTGTGGTATAAAACATTCAATCGAAAATTTGTTTTCCGTCGCATACCCCAAGCAACTGTGGAATGATATGAGGACATATCGGTCAAGTAGCCAGTCGCAGCGTCTATGGAGTTTTGTGTATTCGGACTGTTGAAACGGGCGATGGAAAACCGTTTTACTCGTACGCTAGATGTCTTGGCTTACAGAATGCTTGTAGGGACATGGCAGCTTTACGACAGAGCATCTTGTAACTTAAGCTTCATCGCATGATTACTATCAAGATACACGATTGGCAGACAGAATATGACGACATAGACAGTAACGACGTGGTGAGGCTCCAAAATCATTTTGATAGAACGTACTCAACCTGTGTATAACTCAATGTCATGACAAAAATAGTTGTTTAGGGATATCTTTACATTTCATAAAATGTTGCATCATCAAAGTGAAAAAATCCACTTACTTACGGGGAAAATATGCTACTTCAAGTATATTCACATGCTACTCCAGATTTTATTATATGTTTCTCCAGAATTTTTCTGAACTCCTGCTATCTAGTTTTAAAGTCACACTTATCTCCTGATTCAGCAGAGTATTTCTAATATTCATCATGAGAGAACTGAGAAGGTGTAGTTCTCGTGGTATGATGCAGAAAAACAGACGAGAGTACAATATCACGTGGTTTCAAACAGTGGGTAACAATACAGCTGAGATAGATGTTGTACTATTACGGGCAATGATGCGAATGCAAACCTTCTGGTGGTAGAACTGATATACCTATGGTTCCACCTTGGACACTTATACCCGAACAGCTTTTTATATGATTCATTTTATCTATAAAACTGAATTTTTGTAAATCTTATCTCTCTATAGAAAATATATTATATTTGAACCTAATTTAATCATTTTCTTTGTTTTCTTATTGACTATGATAGACAAAGGTACTCACACAAGGTATGACTAAATCTACTTTCTTTAGAACATCTTATATAGTTTTTGACGAGTTGATGAGCTTATTAGCTTTGCCTACCACTGGCTGGAATACGACTTATTGCAAGTTTCTTTCTGGATGGTGCTTCCAACCCAAGTTGACCTATATTGTTTTGTTTTCCAGTGTCATTAAATACAAGGAATAACTGTTTCTTTTAATGGTCTCGATTACTTCATGAAAAAAATTCCAATTCCCTGATATTTTAAAGGCTTTGTAGATTGAAGTTTTATGCAAGTTTACAAACCAGTAAAAGATCACATTTATTGTTCATTTTACCACTGTTTTTAGGGCAGAAACGTCTACAAACGGTAATTTGCGAATTAACACTTGTAAGCTGTCCATTCTAATGCTGTAGAAATATATTAAATTATTTAACGTTGTAAAAAAAAACACAAAAGGCTTAAATACATATATTTTATGACATTTAAGCCTAAATTGTTTAAGACACGTCTTTAGCCAAATCTTTTCATGAAAGCAAAAAGTTTTAACTCACAGCCACACGATCCAAGTGTTCATGCATAAATCAAATATAAAGCACGATTGTTTTTTAGAAGAACTTAAACTGTTTTAAAGCCAGCTTTTGTACAGTTTTGTTTTCAGAATAAGTTAGATTGCTACAAAGATTGTTGCTATATTTGTGAAAAGTGATTCAATACCATAACAGCACAATGTACATTTTAATCAAACTACACCTGCTTAATAGTGTCAACAGATTCAAATGTGTCTTTAATTGAACATTCATTCTGTACAAATTTTTTCAAAACTGAGTCAGAAGCTTCATTAATGGCTGATTTAAAAACTTATTCTGCATTCTATAGGACCCCACGTACCCCAACTAGACTTTATAAAACAATGACTTGTAGTAACATTGATGAAATTTCCTTATTAATTTTTCTTGAGTTTTTTGTATATCTTTAAGCGATATCTCAGAAATTTGATTGCTACTCGATTCCTTCAATTTGTACAAATATATCACTCAATATAGTTTTTTGTTTATTAATAAAATCACTTTTGGTTTATCCTTCTGTTACATTACTCTTACTACTACGAAACTGTTCAAATATATAATATTGTAATGCCTCAAATTATTGTTTTAATTTGTTCGAAAGTGTTTCTTTCATTTTATTTGTTTTCCAGATTTTACAGTTAGCTAGTTGTCGTAGAAAACTTTCAAAACCTACAAGTAGCACTCTTTTATAATTTTATTGGAAAGAATAACAAATTATAGCCCTTCGTTTAGGTTTTTTATTGCATTTGACAGATTTAAGCAATAAGATATCCATGATAAATATATATAAACATATTTAAAATTTTTCAAACAAAGAAAAGGAAATACGTATAGCTACTTTAGAACACATATATAATACTTGTACAATTATTTAACCATAAACCTCAATGACAACAATACTCTTAACGTATCTTATACATTGACTTGTTTAAACATCATATAACATACAGATGGTCACCTTTTACAATTAAAAACGTGAAACGTCTGATGGCTATACTCATATGGTGACATTTCTTATGAAAACATGCATTATTTGTAAACATTATTCTTAATGATATTTTATTTACATATTCCCACCTACTGATAAGCGTAACAAATTGTGTATCTAAAGATCCTGGGATCGATACCATGGTATTCCGTAAATCATGCTTCGCATTTTCAGCGTTATGAAAGTGACATTAATTTCTGTTAAAAGAAACCAGATAAGCGTCAAGTTGCCGACAGTTTGCCCCCCGGCTGGACAGCAGGTCAAAATTAGGGCCTTTTTGTTTTTTACCAAAATCGTAGTAACTCTGATTTAACAGTTTAGCACGTGTCGCGTAAGATGTCAGCTAGATTGCGAAATACCAATCGTCACTATTCCTTAATACTGAATATCTTTTCTCAGCATTTTTTATTATTTCTACCGTAATGTTAGCTGAAGTCTTGAGTATATTTACACGAATACACGACAGTACATTACAATGGATTGTTTGTATTCCTGTCAGAACAATTAAAATGGTTCTTATTTTTAAGATAATGAAATAATGGAATATATCACATGTTTGTTATACTCTCAAAACCAAACAGTCACTATTATAAAATTAAAGCTTTGCTAAGCTTTTTCATCATTCAATATGTTTATAAAGAAAAGGTACATGTTTACCCATAAATAAGATATATAAGATGGTATCTGAGATAATTGAAACTCTAACCTACGCTCAGACTTCAGATAAATCAAATGGACGAATTCTTAAACTAATTAATTTCATAATACCTTCAAATGAAAGCATAGAAAACTGTTCAACCTTTTTGCTTTAACAAAGAGGGTCTTTGTTAATATAAAATGTTGGTTACTTAAAATATAATATTGATGTTGAAAATGGAAGCATTACTGATCAAGGATCTTTAACGTCCTCATTCAAGATTAAATCTCTTCCCTCTCTTCAGTATCTGGTTTTTCGGAGGCATAATCCTGCTTTGTGGGACTTAACAAAGGATTCTGTTCATTATCCGCATCAACTGGATCACCGAAATCTGTATTTGGTTGTAGAATTGCTTGTGGTCTGATGTCATTGATAATCCTGCTTTGATAACTATTTCCAGCAAATGAATTTAAATCCAAATTTTCAGAAGGGCATGAAGTGGCTTCAGGAAGGGTAAGAATGTTCTCGGTTCTGGGGTTCTCACATGGTTGCTTCTTAATGTTATTTGGAACAATCGGATCTCCGAATAAGGAGCTTAACTCAGTAGAATGACGAGAACGAACGACAGTACTAGAGGTTGGAGTGGATGTAACTATCCCCTTAGTATTCAAAATCACTGTAGCTTGAGTAGTTTTTAAAGAAAGAGCTGGTGTTCTTGTTACTGTAAGTATGCCTGTAGGATTCTGCTGGAAACGAACGCTTGGCGGAATCTAAGGGGTAAGATAAATAAATATCTTTGAGATGTTTATTGAAACTATGCTTGCCATAACATATAAATAATACAATATTTAAAATAAAACAGTTATCTTGTAAAATAACAATGCTTATGCGTCTTTATATATAAATACAGTGAGTTATCATGTGAAATATTCGAATTCATCTCATTAAAAGTAAGTTTATTTTAACATCAGTTATCTGTTTACGTGTAGGTACCACATCACCTCTTTGTGCAACACACAGTTGAACTTTCTATGATCAAGCTTTCTTGTTTTAGTTAAAATAACAAACTGTCTTGACAGATATAAATTAATAACTTTTATTTAAAATGTGTATGATTATGTTAATACACAATCAATAAAAGCCATCATAGAGGAATCAATTCACAACAAACCATTTTGATTCCATGGAGTAACAGCATACACAACCAATTAAGGCCACCATAGAGGAATCAATTCACAACAAACCATTTTGATTCCATGGAGTAAGGAGATATTATGTTAATACACAACCAATAAAAGCCATCATAGAGGAATCAATTCACAACAGATCATTTTGAATCCATGGAGTACGGAGATATTATGTTAATACACAACCAATAAAGGCCATCATAGAGTAAGGAGATATTTTATCCTCTCTTTACTTATTTTAACTGAGTGTTCCAAACATTCGTTTTCAGATAATGTTTTACGAACATTAAAATTTATTCAAATAACTTATAGAACAAAATATCTTTAAAAACTATTTTCGACGCTTAAATAAAATTATTAACATATTGTTTGCATAAAATACATCAAAAGTATTTGGAGGGTACTTCAAAGGTAAGAACAGAGTAATAACTGTAAAATAGAACAACGTTTTACACACTATCAAAACCTTACCTGCAAAGGATGGTTTCTGCGATCTTCGCTATATTCTTGAAACTTAGAAATAACGCACAGCAGGCAGTATACCTAACCAAGAAAAAAATCCCCATTAAATAAAATAAACTGCAAGAATGTTGTTTGAGGATTTATTTGATGAAAGATTTCAGCTCCGGTGCTGGAACAGCAATCAGTCATAATTTAGTTAGCGTAGGCTTAAGTAGACTGCATCAGTCTAGAGTTTGTTTG